CAGAGCCGGCAGCAACAGAAGGGCCGTACGCCTGAGCCTGAGCAGCTGCGATGCGGTCCACCGCGCGGATGAGCGACGGCGTCATCGGCACCGTGCCGACGGGTGGTGACACAGGCCTTGTGGCGTTGGAACCGTGCCGTGTGAGAAACGGTGGCCTCCAACTCGGCGAGTCGCGATCCTGTTCCCCTGTCTGCGCTTGGGCATCGGTCACGTCCTCCTCGTAATCAGAGTACTCTGGTGTACCATCACCGTCATTCTTGCCTCGCAATGCGGCGCGCTTCGCCGATGCCACACTTCTTTCCTGATCCTCTTTAATTGAAGGAAAGCCCCGTGAGCCCGTGTTCGATCCATTAGTCAGTGTCACGCTGGAGAGCGTCGACGTGCGACGCGCTGGTCGTGGTGGCGGGGTAGACAATGGATCGTAATCATCATCGGAACTGGAATCGTCCGGATTCACGACGCCGAACTTTACTGCCTCGCGCTTGCGGTAGCCGTGACCCCCTGCATTTCTCAAGCCACGCAAACGGGCAAGAGGAGGCTGGCTTTGTTTTCGCAAGAGACGAGGTGAATCATCCAGAGTAAATGCTGGCTTGCCTGTTGGCCGCTCGATACCTTGATGATAATCAAAAGACAGGAATGGAGCGGATGAGTGTTTGCTATCGGGAGGCAACAAAAAATCAGAGGCGATGGGTTGCTTTGACTTGTGCATCCACGGAAAGAGTCGATCCCAAACACTGTACGAAAGTGGTCGGAAGATGCCTGCACGGCTACGGGAAATGGGAAGCGACGATGCGTATTCGGCGAGGTACGTGTCCCATTCCTACATCATTACAATCAGGTTGAGATGAACGTGGCGGAGTGAGACATACCTCATCAGGGTTCCCTCCAAAGTATTTCTTAAGTGCCCAATCTGTTGAACAGCCAGCTATGAGGATGAGCCAATAACCAGCACTAAGGGCTCGTTCGTTCCCAGTATCCCACCCATTTCCATCACTTATCCATAATCGCTCCCAGACATTTGACCAAGGTTGGACGTGTGCAAGCAAGGCAATCGACACGATCAGACCGAATGTTCCAGAAGCAGATGCAGCCAGGCGAATCGAATGACGTTGGGTGCGGGCGAATGGTGCCATCGTCAAGATACAAGAGATAGGAACCAGGAGTGCAACGAAGATACGTCGTGTCACAAGATTAGGATGGAGCGAGACAGACAGGGCAAGTGCCAAGGATGTTCTGGGAGAGAGTACATGAGATAAGATAACCACGAGGAGAAGTCGGATAAATTTACCCGCCAGTGATGCCCGTGAACGCGAAAGCAGCGTATTCGAAAAGACCGGAAAATACGGCGAAAGGAATGGAAGTTAACACCCAGACAGCCAAAAAGGCCTTTGGGCTCAATGGCGTAGAAGTCGTTTCATTCGGGACGACCAGTGTGAGGAATGTTACCAAATGTACTGGGATATTCCATTCTCAACGACGACTTTGCGGTACAGAATGGATATATACGTACGGCCGAAAGAGTACCCTATGGCCACTCCACCGAGGCCACTTTGCAAATACAAGCGAACCCGCTTTGGCCTCTTAGTAAGGTTGAAAGATCCGGGTACATGAAGAGGATCGCTACGGGGCCGGAAAGAGCGAGTGCGGTCGAGAATAAGGAAAGCACCTGCGAAAGCAAGGAGGGTGGATAGCACGAAAAGTGGCAGAGCGTAAGCGAGGCGGTAAGATGTTGATGGGAGGAGATCGGTGAGTTCTATCAAAGAGTGGTTTGAGGGGGTAGCCATGATAAGTTAATAGGGTGTCATTAAAGGAGGAAGTTGGGGATATCACTGCGATGGCGAAGGGACGAGGCGGCGTTGGTGCTGCGGTGGTGCATCGGCCCGAGTCATCCCGCCCATGGCACTCAGTCGCTTTCGTACACGGACCCATTCGTATTCGTACTTCAGGTTCATTTCTTCGTCCTCATCCAGCTCTGGGTATGGCCAAGGAATTGAACCGCCATTGCGTGGAATACGGGTCCTCGACCTCACCCGTGTTCTTGCTGGCCCAACTGCCACAATGCTCCTCGCTGACCTTGGGGCGGACGTTATAAAGGTTGAGGAGGTAAAGCACGGTGACGATACTCGTTGAGTAGCATCTGTTATTCTCTTCCTCTGTTCAGACTGACTTATGGATGGACAGGGTCATGGACTCCGCCGGCTGCTCCCTTGTCTGAAAAGGCTCCGAAAGCCTCCTCTCATCTTCCCCCAGAATCGGCATACTTTCTCGCGGTGAACCGAAACAAGCGCTCTATCACTGTAAACTTCAAGAAACCGAAGGGCCTAGAAATACTTCATCAGCTTGTCGCGAAAGCAGACGTATTGGTGGAGAACTTCATACCCGGAAAATTGGATTCCATGGGTCTTGGTTATTCCGATTGTAGCGCTATTAATGACAAGTTAATATACGCATCCATCACCGGCATGTTGCTCCTCATATACCCGTATGCTCCGCTGACACCGGTCATTAAAGGTTATGGACAAACTGGTCCTTTTCGAACAGCGGCGGGCTATGACGTCGTGATTGAGGGCGAGGCGGGGCTTATGCATATGTCGGTGCCACATCCACCACGCGTTTATTAGTGTCATTTGTACTGATCAGAACGCTGGCAGAACCGGGGAACCCGACCGCCCGCCATCCAAGGTTGGTGTCGCCGTGACTGACATTTCTACTGGGCTGTATGCCCACGGTGCTATCATGGCTGCTCTTATCTCCCGCCAGAAAACGGGGAAGAGCGTTTGGATCGACTGTAACCTGTTTGAGTCACAGGTGTGTCACCTTGGACGCGGAGTATTCGCAAACGTCTGACCTCATGGGATCGAGATTGCAGGCCTTGCTAATATCGCGTCCAATTATCTTATCGCAGGAAAGGAGGCCAACAGACATGGTACAGCACATCCATCGGTCGTTCCTTACCAAGTATTCCCCTGCAAAGATGGCTATATCATGGTTGGTGCCGGCAACGAGAGACAGGTAGAGCTGGTTCCCCTTTTGCACTCTTCCCCATTCAAATGCGTTCCCTAGTTCAAACTCCTTGCAGAGAAAATTCTCCGCCAACCTGAGCTGGCCGATGACCCAAAATTCAGCACCAATGGCGCAAGAGTTGCGAATCGTGAGCTTCTGGTGAAGATTATCACGGAGGTCCTCACGCAAGAGCCTCTGGAACACTGGCTTAATCTTTTCAGTGGACTCGGGTAAGCGTGGATCCACCTTGCTACCAAATTCGGATTGAATGGCTTTAAGCGTGCCATTTGGCCCCATCAATAACATCGAGCAGACATTCAAACATCCTCAGGCCGTTGCACGTGGTGTGGTCGTAGACGTTCAGGTAAGGATCACAGCACGTTCTTGATCGCAGCCTCTCAGCTTTGCTCCTAGCACCCCCGCGCTGGAAAGATCAAGCTTGTTGGTCCCGCAGTTACTTACAATGGAAAGAAGATGCCAGTGAACAGACCCCCGCCATGGCTTTCTGAACACACTGACGAGGTGCGGCGAACTACGCTCCACTCATATGGATGACATACGTTTGCGAGCAGGTACTGAGCGAGTTAGGATACGATGCGGAACACATCTTGCAGCTTCGTAGAGAAGAGATTGTGTGAAGGGATGTATGATATGATCAGAACTTCTCAGCGAAGCGAGGAAAAGGATGGGAAGAGCAAGTCAAAGAAAGCTAGTACGCTGAGGAATGTTACTTACGCGATAAGCTACACGATATACATCCGACCAGCTAACAGGGAATACTCGATGAACGCCCCTAGTTCTTGAACTCCTTTTCAGCCTCTTCTACCCACCTACCGACTTTTTCCCAGATATCCTTCGCTGTCTCACTCCATTCAACCTTTTTGCTCTCCACGCACTCACCACATAAACCCCATTCGCCCCAAGACAAAGATGCGATGCGAGCAAGTGTCTCGAGAGGGTGCCCCACGCCGCTGTCGGCCAGTGCGGGGGTGATTACATCATTCATCCAATAGTCTGCGATGACCTCCGTGCATGCCATGTGTGATGCGGGACAGATGGTGAATAGCACCGGTGTAAAGTCCGCAACAAGCGAGGCGAGCAAGCGATGGCAGATACGAATTATTCGTGGAGAAAGTTCGGAGGGTGATGCGTCGTCGGTTGATGCGTTATGAGCTTCTGAGCCTGAGGGATCGTACTCGCTCCTTGGATCAAAGTTGATTGATGTGGTGACGCTGTAGAATAGTGCCTTCTTGGTCTGTCCGAGGTTATTATTAGAATGGATCCCATCTCACCGCTGCTGCAGACCGGCAGTACCTCCGATTCGACGCCGTATCGTACGGCAAGCTCTAATGCTTCTTCGAGATGTTCGGCACGATGTCGGTACGTGAAGGGGACAGGCCCTCCGGGGAAAAGGGCAGCAAGATCAAGGTTGGCCGACTCAAATATCGAGGCCAATCCGAGCTGCCGAGGGGACGAGACCCGCAGAACGCACGCGAGCTGATGGAATGAGCCCTCGGGTTTCGAGGGGCTGCACAACAGGGTCGCAAGTTAGTCCTACCAACGTTACGGTGCTGGATGAGTCGCGATCTGCACGAACGCGCTTACGAGTCGTGGTACAGGCGATCTAGCAGCGCCTCGAAATCTTCCGCCCTGATGCCCAACTCGCCAGGGATAGCTATGATCGGTGTTCCGTGATCACCAAAAGTCTTCGATAGCGCAAGAGCGCTGGGGTCTTTGGCATCTAGAACCCACGATGCGAACTTTGTCGAATGTTGATCAAGAATCGACTTGTGGACCCTGTACACTGATGGCACCAAGTTGACGAGAACAGTGCCGTCTTCGAACCAGAACCGATCGCTTCTCTGTGATGGTTGGGAGTCGATGCCATTTGCGGGAGTTGGTGACATCCCGGTTGGTGATATCCCTCCTGTGAAGAAATAGAATGAGTTCTATCATATCCGAGGGAATATAAACTTTTTCCAAAGTGGATTAACATATGCCCCATGGCTGAGTTGGTTACAGCGTCCGACTGTTATCCTTACATAAGGAAATCATAATCGGAAGGTCGTGAGTTCGAGCCTCACTGGGGCAGAAATTTTTCCTTTGTTCTGACTTGCTAGTGAACTGAACTCAAAAGTATACCGGAATCCGAAATCCTTCTTATCTCCAGCACTTCGTCACTGAAAGGCCCCACACAGCCTGCGATGATGACGAATCAATCTAGTCATCAGGGCTGGGATCCACTTGAACTCCTCAAGACAGGACTACTTATCGGGCAACCTACGTGGTTCTCGGACTGCGCCCCTTACCCTCGACGGGTCGTCTCGATGATTTCTCTGGAACGAGGGCGATTCTATTTTGCAACAGTAGCCGTTTTCAGGCTTCCGGGTTGATCCAGACGTCCTCGTTCACATGCCTTCATGAACTGTGAGTCCAGTAGCCCTCTGGGGAAACCACGACTGTTGCTATCTGGCATGTGACCCGCGATCACTTTCCTTTTTCATCAGTACAGCCTCGATTCGGTTATCTGGCACTTGGCGAGCATTGCCTCGCCGATATGTCAAGCTCCGTGAACCCGTCAGCGATGGGCAGAAAGCTCCGGAGCACGGCCGCACATTATCGCGCCATCGCGGTACCGTAACGTTCCAGTGGAAAAGCCCATGGTGCCATAATTTCAACCTCGCGACGTTCCAACCTCCACATCTATCGAATTGTCGGTAGGTTCAGGGGTTGTCTTTTTTCATGACTCATGTTCGCTCTACGTGTTTTTTTTTAAGTTTCCTTTCACGGGTAAATGCGGCTGTGCGGGGAGAGTGCCACAGCGCGCGGTTCGGCTGACTCGGTCGAGCAGGCGCTCAGCGCTGGCGCGCTGTTGATCTTTCACTTTTTCTGTTCTTGTTCTGATCCACGGCTGATGAAAACATGCGAATATATGCAAATCGGAGTGTTCGATTGGCCGTGCTCTTTTTCTGTATTTTCAGACGGGGCTGTCCGACATGCGTGGTGACAATTTTAGACCCGATTCTCCACGCTGGTGCGAGTTCTCCCGTGCCCACCTCCCACCTCAAGCATCCCTTCCTCGTGTTTTCCGCCGGCGCCGGTGGCTGCAAACCCCCTCACCCTACCCCAGTACTAGTGTGATTCTCTATGGAGCCCCGCATGCCCATGCCCTGGCACCTACTGAATAGAAGTCTCCGCGATCTAGAACGTGCCAGATGGAGCACTGAGAAGAGATTAGTCCCAACTCCGTGATTCCCATGATATTGATAAAAATACCAGCATGATGGTGAAGCCCGGACTATTAGGAAATTCACGTGCGGGAGAGGTCCAGAGGAGAATTGGACAGAAACGCTTATCGTTGTCGTTTCAGGACAGAGGGGTTGCTCGAATGTTCAGTTATTGCTCTAAATAGATCCAGGCATTAGTATCGTTGTACCGACCCCGCACTCCGCCCCGCCCCGAGAGGTCTACAGCCCCCAAAGAGGCCTTTCTCCTTTTCACGCAATATTCCATAATTGTGGTATTCTTGTCACAACCGCAAGCAATAACATCGCTTCCCACATCACACCTGGCACTGTGATGGGGGCACGCGGCGCGGTCCTCCGCGCCGCTTATTTATCAAAAGCGGTCGCCTTGGAAAGTGTTCTCGCGATAGGGCGGGAGATCGGAGGTCGGAACGTGATGTCGAGGTTGATTCGCACCATACAGTACGGCTGTCGCTATCATTGATTTGGGAGGCACCGCTCCCAAAGCCAAGTCGTGCCCCCGCAACCCATGACCTGCAACTTGGCACTCGGTCAGTGGCGCCTCGGCTCTTTTGCACCATTTGAAAGGTCACCGGAGTCCTCCGGAGTGCGGTGCGGTGTGGAAATGTGCCTTGGAGTGCCGAAGCCGCAGACCACAGACGCCGCCAGTGTCCTCGCTGATTACAGTAGCTGATGGCGGGGGGCCACTTTGTCGTCAAACTCTAAACTAGGTGGCGCGCAGCAGGTTTTTTCGTCGTTTGTGCACCCGGGCATCATCTGCGCATCCGTAATCCGCGGCTTGCGGTGAGAACGAATGATGGGATGGCCTAATGCCGGCCGGGTCGCCACGCCACGCACCCCACGGCTCCACGCGGCCGCCTACCCACGTGCCGGCCGGCGCAGCTCCTCGCAGTAACTCAGTACTCACGCGTACTCACGCCTCGTGCCGAGCCCCCGAGACCGAGACCGAGACGGGCGGAGTGGCGGTCTTCTCGCCTATCCGCTATCGTCGGTCTTACCCTCTATGGCACGCACGCTGCGCGGCACGCCCCGTCCCCTGCCCTGGCTTGGCTTGGGTAGGCCCCCTGGCTGGGCTGGCCACCCCAAGGGAAACAAATTCGGGGGGCCTCTCAGCTGGGCGCAACTTTGAGCAACGCACATACACACCTATACACGCTTGCGTCCTCATTCACTACAGTAGGGAAACGTGGGTGAGCTGTGAATGGAAAATGGAATGGGGGACCAGCTGACTTTGCACGCGCGCACTGTCTGCTGCTGCGCCTGCCTGCGCGAGGCCGTAAAGTAAAGTTAGGTTGGCACCGCCACGTAGAGTAGACCTTGTGAACCCGGTCACCTCCCCCCCACCCCCTTAATGCCCCGGCTTCCGGCTGACTGCGCTGCCAGAGGGGTTCGCCTGCGCGGGTCAACGACACTGCCCCCGGTAGCATCTAGTCCTCCTGATGTGAATAGGTCGAACGCTGTGTACCGACAGATGCGCAGAATATCACCGTATCCCGGAACAACCAAGTCAGGGAGGCTGTGATTACACAGCAGATGTGAACCGTTCCTACGTCATCATCAGAAAATGGTATCTCTGTATCTCGCTATGCAATCGCCCGGTGATGGTGATCGCATACGGCTCGCACGCTCATCGATGGCTGGGTAACTTCTTTTATTGATGCAGCTCGCCGTGCGACACATGAACTGTGTCCTTAACACACCTGTGTAAGTAAAGAGTTGTTCTGAAAGAGTCGTAAATAAGTAAGTGCGTTGGAGAAACATGATGTCATGAGCAACGGTTAGTGGAGAGGGGGAGCAGTCCGACGTGCGGTGACATATACCAACACGTAGAGACGGATAAACGTAGCAACCAAAGGTAAATCAAATGTGGGGGGGGGGGCAATGACAAGTGGAACTGCGGAAACGGAAAACGTAGGACTCCACGGGCCCAATTGGGGCACCTTTGCATAAACAGGCTGCAGGAATACACCAGTTGGCAGTAGTGCCGTGGCGTACCCGCTGAACATCAGCTGGGATGTATGGCAGTTGAAAGCCGTGGTCGAAACCAAAAGACGATGTCATGGTAGACTGTCGGGTTAAGATGGAAGGTTTAGTGACAGCGTGTGTTATGCGCTGAGTTTGCGTCGGATCCTCCTCTGTGCGCGGAAGATCGAGAAACGAACACTGAGCGTGAACGCTTGCCAGTGGCGGCGGAACTGTTGGCCACACGTAGGTCTGAAAGAGGCGGGGGCCTTGTGAGCGAGATCGTACGACGAAAGGATAAAAAGAAGCAACTCACGTCCACTCGGCCGCCTCCTGGTGCGTCGGCACGAACCGCTCCTGCTTGGGCTCCGGAGAGATAGTGGTGGGTTCATCAAACACCATTTGAGAAGTCTCGTGGTAATGAGGAGAGTGGCTTCTCGAGCGGAGCTTTTGCCGGGCGCGGGATTGCCGGAGCCGGTCTTCAATGACCTCTTCGAAAGAGCGGCGGGCATAGGGTAGAGACTGCTCGTAGGCAGAGTAGCGCGCGCGTCGACGCTCACGTGGGGAGGCGTTGCGAAGGCGGGCTTGTTCGTCGAATTCTTCTTGGTCATCGTCGTCGTCACCACCGCGCTCCCAGGCGGGGCGACGAGGGACATCGGCTACAACAGGGAAGTAGCGATAGTCGGGATCATGGAGATTGCCGTCCGTGTCGGCATATACTGATGTTGGGGAGGATGATGTGGAAGAGGATAGATAGGAAGGGTCGAGGATGCGGGAGACATCGGCCAGCTTTGCTTGGCGGCGATGGGAGATGTTGCGCTTTGGGGTATGTGTTGCTGCGAGTGATGCGCGCATCGGGAGATCGTATTGGAATGAGGGGGACATTGTGGTCGAAGGGCGGGACCGGGTATGTGTGAGTCGAGGGGAGTGGGGATGACTTGGCTCGGAAGACGATAGACGGCACGGGCAGATTTATAGTCAACCCAAGAGTTGCACGCAATATCGGGAGATTCGTCGAGCCGAGCTCCCGGGCTATGATGGTAATCGGGGGGATCTCATCTCGGCCTTTTCACATCTCTGAGTCACCTCCCCTTTCATCCCACTAATCGCATTCCTTCCGTTCTCATACCGGAAAAAGCAAGCAGGACACAGGACACAACATACTGTATGTACAGAACGAAGACACAGACACAACTCCCCGGTTATCTTCCTCCCACGTCACACCGTTCCTCGCCGTCCATTCCGGGTCTTTGACAACTACCACAACCCTATTCGTCCCCAGGCGCCAATCTCCACCACTTCTAGTGCGCCTCGTTCCACCAATCCCTCCCAAAGCGCCCCGTACACATCGCACCGACGCAGCTTTTCGCCACTTCCGGCGATCGCACCCCCCAAACTCCGAAGGCATATTTCTTTCATCCTAACATCTATGTTCCTATGTTATCTCTCCGACCAACATGGCACTGATACCCCGTTGGGGAAACTTTCCCCTGACCGGCTCGCCACTCGCACTGGAACCGCCTCGCTCCGACTCGCGTCCACGCGTATGCTTACCTAAGTCGGCTTTAGGGAATGGCGCCAACCTCTTATCTCAGCAGCAACCGCCACAGACCCTTAATCAGCATTATCTTAGCAATCCGCAACCAGAGATGGGTCATCTTCTCATCGTTACCCACTCGCTGTCGATGCGGATGTGGATAGGATACAGTGTGTGGGTGTGTTCCCCATGTAGATAGTGGTTGCCTCCACAACTAGGCCGCGGTGCTTGTGGGTGCCAGAATAGGACGTATTCGATGTTCGCATTGTTGGTCGTCATGTTGCTCGCTTGCACTTCTGTGCCGAACAAAGCAAACATTCCATATAG